TATGGAGTTTGCACAATTGCCCAAGGGTGGAATTGAGAGGTGGACGGTTTCCCCCTTGTGGGAGACCACCATCAGCTCGCACTCTCTCTCTCTCTCTCTCTCTAATGAGAGTGCAGCCCTATGGTCTGGTAGGACACTGGTGGTTTTACTTCCATTTCAGGCTGTGACTGGATCATGTGTGTGTTGTTTTTTTCACCAACTGGGCATCTTACCTGGCCTGATTCTGTAGTCAGCACTGCTGTCTCACAGTGCCAGGGACCCAGGTTCGATTCCAGCTTCGGGCAACTGTCTGTGTGGAGTTTGCACGTTCTCCCTGTGTCTGCGTGGGTTTCCTCCCACAGTCCAAAGATGTGCGGGTTAGGATGGATTGGCCATGTTAAATTGCCCTTGGTGTGCAGGCTAGGTGGGTTAGCCTTGGGAAATGCGCGGTTACAGGGATAGGGTGGGATGTTCTTCAGAGGATTAGTGCAGACGCGATGGGCTGAATGGCCTCTATTGCACTGTAGGGATCCTATGCTTGTGGGGACATTGTGATATTGAAGGACACCACAGATGTAGAGTATAACTCTTCCACACAAACAAACTCCTGTGTTCTATGGTTGTCGGGACTTCTTACTACAGGCAAGCAGGCTCTAGTAGGACGTCATGCCTGAAGTGATCTGAGATAAGATGGAGCATGAGACCTTAATCCCCTCATGTCACACGATACCAGGGATGTCACAAATGTGTGTCTGTTAACTGTACACTGACCATTTAGAGATGATGCTGGGACCTAAAGAAATGCACCCAATTTGTTGAAGGTTACAAACCCTGTTGAATATCTGATCAGAGCTACAAGGGAGTTTGCAGAAGCATTAATTGTACAGAGTCGGGTAAATGGAACATAAACATCATAAAAGCTGCTTCAGCAATGGCTCCTTTAACTGAGATGAAGGGTTTTATTACACCCCTCAAGGTGGTGTGGGTGGAGTTAAGATTAGGTACTGACCATATCCACCACAAAGAGCAACAATCATCAGACAGAAGTAGGCCATTCAGCCTATCAAGTCTGATGCACCATTTGATGGCTGATCTAATAATCTGCGACTCCCCTTCCCCCCCACCGACCCGACCGCCAACCATTGATTCCCTTACTGCCTAAAAATCTGCATTGGATACTGAATGTTTACAAAACCCCAGCCCTTGATTAGGTACTGACCACATCAAAGCATATTCGATCCCAAGAGGTGGTCTTTCCTTATTGGAGAGTCTAGGACCAGATGGAATAATCTCAGTCTAAATGGTTTAAGAGAGAGATGAGGAGAAATTTCTTCTCTCTGAGGCTGGTTAATCTGTGGAATACTTTACAGGTCGAGGGCTGGAGAAACTGGGGTTGTTAAACATTCAGTATCCAATGCAGATTTTTAATCAGTAAGGGAATCAATGGTAAGAAAGGAGGGTTGCAGATTATTAGAGCAGCCATCAAATGGTGGAGCAGACTTGATGGGCTGAATGGCCTACTTTGCTCTTACATCTGATTGTTGCCCTTGGTGGGATCTAAAAGCAGGGTGACAGTTTCAAAGAGATAAGGAACATTTTTCTCCAGGTGGTACTTGAGGTTGAGGCTTGGTTGTTGAATATTTTCCGATCCAGTGTGAGGGGGGAAGGCAGGAAAGTGGACTGGAGGCCTGTAATCAGATCAGCCACACACATAATCAAATGCTTTGAGGGCATGAATGGCGTATTCTTAATTCTCATGTACAGCTAGCTGTCTTACTGCCATTCTCTGCCTGCTGCTGGTTTTGGGACCACACCTTCCTGTTGTGGCTTAAATCTTGTAAAAGATCCTGAGGGACATTGGAAAGAGCAGGGCCAGGCGTGTTGGTCTTAAAGCATCTTGTGGTGAGATTTAGGGTGGCTTGGCAGTTAGCACTGCTGCCTCTCAGCACCAGGGACCCGGGTTCGATTCCAGCTTAGGGCAACTGTCTGTGTGGAGTTTACACGTTCTCCCCATATCGATGTGGGTTTCCTCCCACAGTCCAAAGATGTGCAGGGTAAGCGGATTGGCTGTGAGAAATATGGGGAATTACAGGGCAGGGTAGTTGGTCTGGGTGGCCTGCTTCCACACTGTAGGGATTTTTGTGAACTGCTGGTTCCTAGAGACCAGGCACAGCTACCAAAGATGGTACTGCTAACAGGAGTGCATTTGTGTGTGAATATTACTGTGGAGGAGGCCATTGAGCTCAGCCTGTCAGTGCTACCTCTCCAACAATCAACAGGATGAGTCATAGAATCATACAGCACGGAACCTGGCCCTTTAGCCAACTCATCTATACTGTCCAGCTTTCCCATTTTCCTGCATTTAGTCCATAATCGTTCTAAACCCTTCCTATTCACGTTCCTGTCCAAATGTCTTTTAAATGTTGTAACTGTACCTACATCTACCACTTCCTCTGGCACCATTCCAAACACACACTGCCCTCTGCCTGAAAAAGAGGCCCCTCCAGTCCCTTTTAAATCTTTCCCCTCTCACCTTTAAGCCTATGCCCTCTAGCTTTGAACTCCCCTACCTTGGGGAAAAAGACCTTACCTATACCCCCTCATTATTTTATAAATGTCTAAGGTCACCCCGCAGTATCCTCCTAAGCTCCAGCGGGGAAAATAGTCCCAGCTGATCCCTACAATTCAAACCCTCCAGTCTTGGTAACATCTTGGTAACATCCTGGTAAGTGTTTTGTGCACCCTCTCCAGTTTAATAACATCCTTCCTATAGCAGGGTTACCAGAACTGTACACAGTACTCCAAAAGTAGCCTCACTAATCTCTTGTACAGCTCCTGTACTCAATGCTTTGACTGATGAAGACAAGGGTACCAAACAGCTACTAGGTTTATGTTCAACCACACTTCCAGGGCCCTACCATTAACTCTAAGTCCTGCCCTTGTTTGCCTTACCAAAAAAAAGGCAACACCTTACTTTCATCTAAATTCAACTCTGCTGCTCCTAGACCCACTGGTCCAGTTGATCAGGATCATAACTTTTTAATAAAAAAAAAACCTATTTGTCTAACCATCCCGTTCAGTGATGTTATTACACACCCCTGGAGCGGCTGGGACCTGAACCTGGGCCTCCTGGTCCAGAGGTGGTGATACTACCACTGCACGGGAGGGTTCTCATTGTACTCTTAGATAACCTTCACTGTCCACTACACCACCAATTTATGTCATCTGCAAGTTTACTAACCATGCCTTCTATATTCTCCTCTAAATCTTATATTAAGCAAGAAACCACAGCAGAACCAGTACCGATCCTGGCCGGACTCGGCTGGTCACAAGCCTCCAGTCTGAACAATAACCCTCCCTCTTGTTGTGTCAAGCCAATTTTGTATCTAATTGTCTAGCTTTCCCTGAATCCCATGTGATCCGACCTTACCAATCAGTCTACCACGTGGAACCTGGAAGGCCTTGCTAAAGTCCATGTCAACAATGTCTATCACTCTGCCTTCATGGTCATCTAATGAAACTCCATCAAATTCCCATGACTTCCCACAAACAAAGCCAGGCTGACTTGCACTAATCAGACCTTGTCTTTCCAAGGAGATGTAAATCCTGTCTCAGAATCCCCTCCAACAACACAACCACCACTGACATCAGACTCACCTGTCTGCAGTTCCTGGGCTTTTCCTTGCAGCTATTTTTAAAATAATGGCACAACATTAGCCACCCTCCAGTTTTCCAGCATCTCATGCATGGGCTGTAGATGATACAGTCTCTTCCCTAGCTTCCCATAATGTCCTGGGATGCACTTTCAGGTCCTGGGGATTTGTCTATTTATTTTAAGGCTTCAAGCACCTCTTCTGTAAAGTGGCATTTTTTTCTTAAACTGTCACTATTTATTTCCCCAAGTTCCCTCACTGCCAGGTCTTTCTCCACAGTAAATACTGTTGCAAAATATTAATTTATCTCATCTCCTGTGGTTCCTGTCAGATGGCAGCATTGATTTTTCTTTTTTGAAAAAAAAAAGAGAGCCCTGTTCTCTCCCTAGTTACTCTTCTGCCCTGAATATACTTTGACAGCAGAGGGGAAAGGTCCTTTCTAATCATTCTCCTGCCGACACAGTAGCCTTACACATTATTTGAAGAGAGAGGGACACCCAGCGATATTCCAAGTTCTGTATGGTTGCAATATCTGAAACGAAGTTATTTCATGCGCCTGAACACTGGTACAGGTAGTGCATGCCACACCTGAACCCCTTGTTCAAGTGATGGCCTGGTGATATTATTGCCAGCTTATTAATCTAGAGACCAACGTAACATTCTACAGACATGGGTTCAAATCCTGCTACAGCAGATGGTGGAATTTGAATTCAATAATTTTTTTTAAAAAAAATCTGAGAATAAAGGGGAGTCTAATGATGGCCATGAACCAATTATCAAAAAAAAGTGTCTGATTCACTAATGTCTTACAGGAAATTCCTTCCTTACTAGGTCCAGACATGAAGGTGCTGGTGTTGGAGTGGGGTGACAAAGTCAAAAGTCACAGGGGTTTATTTTTGTATAGCACAAGCATTCAGATCACCCTCTGAAAGCTTGTGACTTCACATAAAACTCAAACTATAACCTGTCATGTGAATCCTGACTTGGTCCAGATCCTCCCTCCCCCCAACACAATGGTTAACTATTAGTAATGGACCAGCATTTTTGTCCAACACAACTGATGCTAACATCCTGTACATGAGTTTTTTTTAAAAAAGGTTGGGGTGGGTGGGGAAAGAAGAAAAAAAAAGTCATATTTCCTTCTTTGCAAAATGCTTTAAATCTGTGCCCTCTGGTTTTTGAGCTTTTTCAACCTTCTCTCTATCCCAGGCTCCTCATGAATTTGAGAATCCTTTCTTTCCAAAAGAAAGGGAAGTGAGAGACTAGAATTGGAGGAACACTGACCCAAGAGGGTCAATACTGATTTAAAAGGTTTGTTGAGCCAAGTCTCTCCTGTTGATTATCAGGGAAAAGAATACACACGTTAACTTGAGATCCATTTTAGTTTTAATGATTTCACAACAGTAGAAAAGTTGAGAATTTCAACTTTTTTGTTTTTTTAAAAAAAGATTTCCCTCTTCCACCCCCAATCCTAAATATTCCTACATCACATTCAAAAGACTTGATTAAAACAGAACGCAGTGGCAAAAGGCTACTCCACTGCAGCGTCCAGAACACAGTCTCCACTCACTTGCCATTTTGTTTCAGGGCTCCTACCTTCTAAGCAATCAGCTGCCCTGTTCCTTTACCCAAGGTGTGTTGGGCTAAGCGTGACCAATCCCACCTCTTTTGGGGGAAAAAAAAGAGAGCCAAACATGACCCCTAAGAGAGGTGGAGAAATACAGCATGTGTGGTGAGAGAACACCCAAGGTGCTTGATACATCAAAACAATATGGTGACATTACAGAGTGTTTTACCCAAGTAGGTGGCTGTAAATATATTGGAGTTTTCCAGCAAATTGTGCACCCCATGACCCATCAGCCCAAGCTGCTGAGGGTCCCTCTGGGGGTATAACTGCAGTTTGCCAGGACCAATAAGTCAGTCAATCACTGGCAACACCGTGATTTCCCCCATGAACCACCAGTGCTCTGGAACGTGACCCTCTGTTTGTGATGCTCTAACTGTTGAAGGGGGTCCATCGTTTAAAGGCTGCTGCTCTACTGTGGCCCTGCAGTGTCACAATTTAAATACACAGCGCACCCCCCCCAACCAAATGGGGCTGCTTAGGTCTTACCTTCCTACCAAGCTGTGCGTGGAGCCAACTCACCAGATGGGAGTACATGCAGGAATGGAGGCACTGTACAGTCACAGCAATGACACAATGTACATTAACATCACTATTTATCCAAATAAATTACTTCTGGAAGGTGACAGACTGATACTGCAGTGTTATACAGAGACCGCCCTGCCCCCACCAGTTCTGTACCTCTTATACATTTCAAAATACAGTTCTCCAGGCTCCAGTGTGGAGGAAGGGTCTGGCTTTACCACTGGACAGTTAAAATGGACTCTGATAATTTACCACAACCTGCATTATACACAATTGCAACACTGGTCAACCCCCTGTATAAATAAAAAGGAAATTGACCAATGGCCAGAGGTTGATTTCAGGTGAAAAATCAATTGAAAATTATAAATAATCATTTACTGTTTCATTAAACGAAATGTGATGGGGGTCGGGAAGAGAGAAGGGGATGTTATTGGGGGTGGGGGAAATGCCAGCCCTAAAGAGGCTTCACGTGAGGTTCACTGCTCCTTCACCAGCTTGCACACTCGTTTCACTCGAGAGAATGGCCCAAGGGAGTCACAGAAAACAAAATCCCACAGGACCCGAAGCCAGGAGCTGTGCTGAGGCAGATTCTCATAAAACTCCGGGGCTATCTTCTTGACCTAAAGCATAAAAAAGACAAACAGGAATTCAATTATTTCTCTCACTGGGCACAATGCACACACAAGTCTTCTCTTCAACCCATCAAACTCAGAATTTGTCCCCTCTTTAGGGCAGATGTGATTATTCAGAGTGTGCAGAGGAGATCAAAGGAAGGAGGTTGGTAGCTCAGTTGGTTTGCAGCAGAGTGATGCCAATAGTGCAGCATCAATTCCCACACCAGCTGAGGTTACTACAAAAGACTCTCCCTCAACTTCTTCCCACCCTACCCCCAACTCTGGTGTGGTAATGCTAAAACACCTCCATTCGCCTCTCTCTAGTGAGCATGCAGCCATATTGTCTAGAGGTAGATATGGGGGAGACAGAGGTAGGTTCTTTACTCTGAGTGGTCAGGGCGTGGAATGCATTGGCAGAGAGGGTCGTGGAGTCAGCCTCATTAGGGGCATTTAAGTGGCTATTAGATAGGCATCTGGATGATAGTATAAGGTAGGAGTGGATGTTAGGAAGACCTTAGGTTTAGGGTAAAAGTTCGGTACAACATTGTGGGCTGAAGGGCCTGTACTGTTCTATGTTCTAAGCCATTGGCAATGTCATCTGCCTGGGTTGGGGCAATGATAGTTAAGGGAAACCAGATGTGGAACTAGGAAATAGTATTTTTGGGGGTGGGGGTGTTGTTAAATTGAAAATAACTCAGATCAACCACAATCTTAGAATGGGGCAGCAGGCTGGAAGAGGCCTACTGTTATTCTGGGTTTGTAGATTGGTTGAGGTTTGTTGTTTTCTTTGGAGCAGAGAAGGCTGGGGGGGGGGGGGGGGGGGGGGGAAGAGAGAGAGAGAGAGAGAGAGACAAGAGCCTTCAAGACATTGCAAAGTGTTTAGGTGAGTGTTTGAAATACCAGAGGGTATGGGCCAAGTGCTGGAAAGCAGCATTGAAACAGATAATGTTCAATGACCAGCACCTTCATGATTATAACCACAGTGAGGGAGGCAGTGGCCTAGTGGTATTAAAATCGCTGGACTGCAATCCAGAGACCCAGATAATGTTCTGGGTACCTGGGTTCGAATCCCACCATGGGCAGATGGTGGAATTTGAATTCAATAAAATATCTGGAATTAAGAGAGTCTAATGAGGACCATGAAGCACATTGCTGGAAAATAACCATCTGGTTCACAAAATGTCCTTTAGGGAAGGAAACTGCCATCCTCACCTGGTCTGGCCTACATGCGACTCCAGACCCACAGCAGTGTGGTTGACTCAAACTGCCCTCTGGGCAATAAATGCTGCCTGGCCAATGACACCCTCATCCCGTGAATGAATAAAGGTGGGGGGTGGGGGAAGAAAGCTTGTGGATTGGTACCATCTCCTCTTGCCCAAAAGAGGTCTTTCATCCTAGATGCAGGCTACTCAACAAACCAGCCATCACAGACAGACAGATCCCATTCCTCACTCAAGAATGGCACACAAGTGCCAAACAGAAGCCCCAGCCCTCATGCCCTAGTCTCAGGATTGCCTGCTCAGATCAAGGCATTGCCCTGACTGACACCCATGAATTCAGGGCAAAAAAAAAAAAAAAAAAAAAAAAAAAAAAAAAAAAAAACTGGTGAGGGAGGCCCAGTCTCACTCCATAAACCATGCCACCAAGGGTTCACCCACTTTGGGTTCAGAGCCTAGGCTCTTATTCAAGCTTGCCCAGTGATGCCAACATAATTGGTAATAAAAAAACAGCCAGAGGAAATCAAGCTTTTGAAAAGTTGTGATTACCAGGGGAAGCTTTCTTCCAGGGATACTGGGGAAGTCATGATGCTCCATGTGATATCCCACATTGAAGGTGAACCAGTTGAGGGGCCCGTAGTAGGAGTAGGTTTCATATCCCTTCAGGAACATGTAGTGCTCAGCAATGAAGTGTCCAGAGAATGGGTGAAGGCCCATGCCCAACATGGAACCTGCCAACATGTAGAACACTGGCTTCAGGCCCCAGATGTAGTAGATAAAAAGGTCATAGCCCAGCTGGATGGCAGCGTTGACCAACTCCAGTTGCGTTATGGGTTTGGGGTTGACATACAACGGCCGCAGAACGTAGAAGAGCGGCTGAAGGAAGAGCCAGAGGATCTTGCGGGCGGGCGTGCAGAAGAACCTGCCTTCAAATTCAGTGGGCACATCGACATCCAGGGCATCCCCCCCAAGGTACCGGTGGTGGTCGATGTGGTACTTCTTGAAAGAGGCAGAGTAAGGCATCCCAATGGGCAGGTTGGCAAACATAGCGAACCAACGGTTCCACTTGGCAGCCTTGTTCCCGAAAGCCACGTTGTGCGAGATGTCGTGGATGGCGAGGGTCAGGGAGTGGTTGACGCAACCTCCCAGGACGTAGGCCCAGAACACCAGCCATGTCCAGGACAAGTCCTTGACCAGGTAGCAAGAGACAAACTGGAAGAGAACCATCACACTTACAATCCATTTTAGATGAGGATCTGGAGTCATCAGAGACTTCATCTCTGGATACTTAGCTGTTTTAAAAAGAGAAAACAAAAGGATCAATTATTAAGTGTCTATAAATTTATTTCATTCATGGGGTGAGGGTATCATTGGTAAGGCCAGTATTTGTCACCAATCCCCAATGGCCCTTAAACAGTGTTGCTTGGCCATTTCAGAGAGCAGTCGAGAGTCATTGATGTGAATCCATAACCATAGACTAATAGCTATAGGAGCAGAATGAGGCCAATCGAGAAATAATTTCTGAAGGAGGGTCCAGACCCAAAACGCCAGCTTTCCTGCTCCTCTGATGCTGCTTGGCCTGCTGTGTTCATCCAGCTCTACACCTTGTTATCTTAGTGAACCAGACAGGTTTTTACAATTGATGGAAAAAAGTGTCATGGACACCAATACCATTTGTGAATTCACTATCTGGTAGGTGCCCTGGTGGGATTTTAACAGTGTTAGCCTGGGTCCCTGGAAGTGATGTGTACTGCTACATCTCCCAAATATGTCTATTTCTATATATCCCAGTGGAGTGATGGAATATTCTTAGATTTAGAACAGAGGATGGGAGGATGCTAGAAGGCAGCATGAATGCTAGTTTGAACTGGTTGGGCTGAATGGCCAATTTGTGTGGTATATCCCATTTAAGTGCAGAGGGCAGATGTTCTATCCAACAAGCACTTGCTATTATAACCTTCAACAAAGTTAATGCACCTGTGTGAAGTGCTTTGGACATTTAGAGACCGATGCACAGCATGGAAACAGACCCTTTGGTCCAACTTGTCCATGCCACCCAGATATCCAAAATTAATCTAGTCTGATTTGCTAATATTTGGGACATATCCCTCTAAACCCTTCCTATTCATGTCCCCATCCAGATGGCTTTTAAAGTGTTGTAATTTTAATAGTCCCCACCACTTCCTCTGGCACCTCATTCCATACCACCCTCTGCATGAAAAAGTTGCCCCTTAGTTCCCTTTTAAATCTTTTCCCTCCCACCTTAAACCTATGCCCTCTAGTTCTGGGCTTCCCTACCCTGGGGGAAAGAGGCCTTGGTTATTCACCCTTTCCATGCCCCTCATGATTTTATAAACCTCCTTAAAAAGGTCACCCCTTCAGCCTCTGACACTCCAGGGAAAATAGCCCTACCCTATTCAGCCTCTCCTTATAGCTCAAACCCTCCTTGTAAGTCTTTTCTGAACGCTTTCTCGTTTCACAACATCCTTCCTATGGTATCAATATACCAAGTCATAAGCCTACATCAAGCCAGGACTTGGAGGGGGTCTTACAAAAGGGGAGAGAGAGATATAAAGAATCAGAATCCCTACAGGTTGGAACCAGGCCATTTGGCCCATTGAGTCCATACAAACCCTCCAAAACAGCAGCCCACCCAGACCCACCCTCACCACCTACCCCACCCCCCCAATCCTATCCCTGTAACCCTGCATTCCCATGGCTAATCCACCTCACCTGCACATCCCTGGACACAGACAAGTTAGCATGGCCAATCTACCCTAACCAGAACATCTTTGGACCAGGGGTGGTGGAGGGGACATGCAGATGCCCACAGTCAGTCACCCAAGGCTAGAATCAAACCTGGGTCCCTGGCACTGATTGGCAGCAGTGGTAACCACGGAGGGAAAACTGGGGTGGGGTGTGAACAGGAGGCCAACAACTGGAGGTCAAAAGGAGGTTACAGAAAGTGTGAGGTGATTCACTTTGGAAGGAGCAACAGGAATACAGAGTACTGGGCTAATGGTAAGATCCTTGGTAGTGTGGATGAGCAGAGAGATCTCGGTGTCCATGTGCATCGATCCCTGAAAGTTGCCACCCAGGTTGATAGGGTTGGTAAGAAGGCGTACGGTGTGTTAGGTTTTATTGGTAGAGGGACTGAGTTTCAGAGCCATGAGGTCACGTTGCAGCTGTACAAAACTCTGGTGCGGCCGCACTTGGAGTATTGCGTACAGTTCTGGTCACCGCATTATAGGAAGGATGTGGAAGCATTGGAAAGGATGCAGAGGAGATTTACCAGGATATTGCCTGGTATGGAGGGAAGGTCTTATGAGAAAAGGCTGAGGGACTTGAGGCTGTTTTCGTTAGAGAGAAGAAGGTTAAGAGGTGACTTAATAGAGACATACAAGATGATCAGAGGATTAGATAGGGTGGACAGCAGGAGCCTTTTTCCTCAGATGGTGGTGGCTAGCATGAGGGGACAGCTTTAAATTGAGGGGTGATAGATATAGGACAGATGTCAGAGGTAGGTTCTTTACTCAGAGTAGTAAGGGCGTGGAATGCCCTGCCTGCAAAAGTAGTAGACTCGCCCACTTTAAGGGCATTTAAATGGTCATTGGATAAACATATGGATGATAATGGAATAGTTTAGGTTAGATGGGCTTCAGGTTGGTTTCACAGGTCGGCACAACATCGAGGGCCGAAGGGTCTGTCCTGCGCTGTAATGTTCTATGTTCTATGTTCTATGTCTGCACTGGCTCAGGTTACCAGGAAGAAGCCTCCTTAGGAGAGGAGAGAGACTGTGCAGGTGTGGTGACCCTCAGGTTAAAACACCACCAGTTGTGTCTCCAATGAGAGATCAGCCCTATGGTCTGGTAGAACTGTGGCAACTTTATCCTGACAGAGATGGGGCAGCACGAGACTATCGAAGGAAAGGATTTGAAAATACAGGCATCAATTCCACCCTAACCTGTTCACTGAGCAAAAAAGGGAGGCCAGGTGACTTACCAAAACGATACGGATACCAAACTCAAGAACTGTCTCTGGAGAAGATAGAGCTATAAAAAAAGGAGAGACTAGATTGGCTTGGATTGTTTTCTTCAGAACAGAGAAGACTGAGGGGGCAGTGGGGGGAAAGAGACATGACTGAGAGGCATAAGATTGAGGGGTACAGACAGGGTGAATAGTGAGCAGCTTTGTTTGCGGGGTCACAGTTTTAGGGGCAGGACATTCAGAGGGGGATTTGTGGAAAAAAAAATCCTGTCTCAATCAGTGGGTAGTGGGAATCTGGAATGCGATGCCTGCAAAAGGTGATATAGGCTGGAAATCTTACAGCATTTCTTTTAAAAAAAATTTGGATGAGCACTTCAAGATAGTATACATTCAAGGATAAAAAGGGAAACGTGCAGGAAATTGGGATTAGTGCATCCTTCAGTGAGAGAGTTATCTCAGCATGGACTCAGAAAAGCCTTTTGGCCCATCGTGCTGTATGAATCCAAAGTGCTGCCAGACCTACCGAGTTTCTCCAGCAAATCATTTCATATTTCCAGCATCTGCAGTATTTTGATTTTAAGAAAAAAAAAGACCAAAACAAGATCTCTTTAAACATTGTTTAGGGCAATATCAGAGCACCTATACAGACACCCTATGATTACATTCCCTTGGAACGCAGATTAAGTGCGGGTTTCTCCTCAGCTTGTACCTGGTAGAGCAGGTTCAGCAGCTCAGATTCCAGGGCTGATGCAGTGACCACAATGAGCCCTTTACTTTCAAAGTTATGACTCACTCTCAAACGATCCCCCAATTATTTAATTGTTGTTAAAAGGAGGAAACAGGGACAAAACCCAAGCTGCAGTTCTGCAGTTTAACCCTTTCAGCA